TATATATATATATATATATATGTATCCTCTCTATTTATAACTCGTGCTGTATATACAATGCACATCATTAGCTGCCTATACACCTCACTATATCTTCTTTTTGCTACTGCTGAGTGTCTGCGTCTAACCCCTCCCCCTGATCTCTCTGCTGCTGCTGTTGTTATTTCAGCAGCAGCAACAACAAATGCAGAAGCGGCAACAACAAGTGCAGCAGCAGCAACAACAAATGCAGCAGCAGCATCGGCAGCAACACCAGCTGCTGGTGTTGAAGCTGCTGCTGCAGCAGCAGCAGCAGCATCGGCAGCAACACCAGCTGCTGGTGTTGAAGCTGCTGCAGCAGCAGCAGCAGCAGCATCGGCAGCAACACCAGCTGCTGGTGTTGCAGCAGCTGCAGCAGCAGCAGCAGCAGCAGCAGCTATTAATGCATTAATGAGTATTTAATATTACCTTTTACTGATTGTGAATATCCCTTTGTAAAAAACAAAAAACTTTCTGCTACGCGTCGCGGTGTATTGGTCAAAACTTCCTCAGATAAACAACCCCCAGGCAAGGCCTGAAGGAAAATAAAAATAAATAAATAAATAAATAAATAATAAATAAATAAATAAACAAATAATATATATATATATATATAACAAACAAGAACAAACAGGGAGAAGAACAAAACAGTGTATAAACAGCTTCATATTAAAATCTGCAAATGCCGCATATAACCAACGAACGAACAAACAAACATAATAATAATAATAATAATAATAATAATAATAATAATAATAATAACAATTATTACTATTATTATTATGTTTGTTTGTTAATAATAATAATAATTATTATTATAATAATTAATAATAATATAATAATAATTAATAATAGTAATAGTAATTATTATTATTATTATTATTATTATTATTATTATTATTATTATTATTATAATTAAACCCTAAAAGGCATACTGTGGGGTGTTGGGGTGTATGTACACCCCACGGCTGTCTCCTACCTTGAGGAGATCAGTAACTGCATTTTGAATCTTCTTCACTGCTGCTGCTGCTGCTGTTGCTGCTGCTGCATTGTTTGCTGCAGCAGGAATTCCTTGTTTGTCTACTTCTGCTGCCTCTCCTGCTGCTGCTCCTCCAGCAGCAGCAACAAAGCTGTTTAGCTGCTGCTCAGAAGCGATGCCGTTGCTGCTGCTCTGCTGCTGCACCCCCTTAGACCTGCCCCTGCGGCGATCTCGTCGTGCTGCGTTGCTGCTGCCCTTGCTGCTGCTGCTGATGCTGCTGCTGGGCAGCAGCTGGAGATTGTCTGCGGCAGCAGGGGTTGCATGCACGCCCAGAGGAGTTTCCGAGAGGCTGCAGCACTCAGTACTGTCCCCTGCTGCAGCTGCTGCTGCTGCTGCTGCTGCTCGTTGCTGCTGCCTCGCCTTCTTCTTGTTTTTCTTTTGTCTTTTTTCTTTTTCTAAAGGCAAAGAAGACGAAGACACCCCACAGCCTTTGTCATCTGCAACTCCCACAAAAGAATTCTCATCGCAGCAATAAGGCTGCTGCTGGGGTTGCTGCTGCTGCTGCTGCTGCTGCTGCTGTTGCTGGGGTTGTTGCTGCTGTTGCTGGGGGTGTTGTTGCTGTTGGTGCTGCTCTTCCTTCCCGTACTGCTGCTGCTGCTGCTGCTGCTGCTGCTGTTGATGCTGCTGAGGGGGCGATTGGCCTTTGTTCGACTGCCGCCTTCGCATCTGCGAGCAGCAAACCAACACAAAGGAGACACTGTAGCAGCAGCAGCAACAGCAGCAACAACAGAAGCAGCAAAGGACCTGACTAAAGAGGCAAGCAGCACCAGCAGCTGGAAAAGCAGAGAGCTCTGCTGCTCTTCTCTGCTGCATGCAGAGAGAGAGAGGGGCCGGCATGAACTGTAAATGCAACAAACATATTTTGTCTCCTCAACATCAAAGAAAGGAGAAAAGACAGAGAAACAAAAGACAGCATCAAAATAATGCACAGCGTTTATATCTGCAGCAAAGACGACCTCTGCTGCTGCCGATGATGCTGCTGCTGTTGCTGCCTGTGCTGCTGCAGAGAGCACTGATCCTGCTGCTGCTGCTCCTACTGGTGTTGGCGTCGTCCCCGTTCATGTTGGGGCTGCTGCTACTGCTGCTGATGCTACCGCTGCTGCTGCTGCTGCTCCTGCATCTGCTGCATATGATGCTGCTACTAATGTAATTCCGCTTACTTGGTTCGTGGGTGGCGGTTCAGAATTGAGTTCAGAGTTCATCGGCTAAGGAGGAACAAAGACAAACAAATAAGCCGCTTGTTGCTCCTGCTGCTGCTGCTGTTGCTGTTGCTGTTGCTGTTGCTGCTTCCTCTGCTGCTGCTACTGCTCCTGTTGGTTGTTGCTTCCTCTGCAGCTGCTGGGAGTTGGTGTTGTTAATTCTTCTTCATATATATTCCTTTCTTGCTCTTCCTTCTGCTTCTGTTGTGTTGTTTTGGGGGTGGCTGACGATGCGTTCTCTGCGGGCTTCTCTGCAGTTTTGAATTTTGGCCCTCAAGGGGAGAAACTATGGGAAAGAAGTCTAGGAAAAGACAGCAGGGGAGCTGTTTAAAGTAGAGGCGTGTATTGCACGTAAAACTAGAGAGGTTTGAGGTGTATGTACACCCCAACAACGGCGAGAAGAGGAAAGGGAAACAGCGGAAATAAGCGGGAAAGCTGTTTGTTCTTCTTGGAATCCGGAGGAGCAAACAAATTGAAAACACTTTGTGAATCAAAAGGAATAAAATAAACGACAATTATTCAGAAAGAAAAGGAATACAAAGAGCGGAAGGAATGCTAAGTTCGTTTCGAGTGTACAGACACCTGAAAAACGCTCGGGCGGTTAAATGCGCGATCAAGAGGGAAACACCAGTAAATTTCAAAAAAAGTTCAATAAATTCAAATAAATGAAGTATTCAAATTATAAATTCAATGAAAAATATATTAATTCTTTAAACACTACACACACAAAAAACCCCAGCGGGAGATGCCGCTCCTGGTGAGGGGCTGATAAGGAATGCTATACACAGCAGAAGAACGTTTTCTGCATGCACGGAATTCTATCAAAAGAAATAAATTAATCAATTAAATTGTAAATAAATGAATTAATTAATCGTCTACAACAAAGCACAGATTAAGAGTGAGACTGCGCGTAATACAACCCCCCCACCCACAGCAGCGGGTGTATAAGGAAATATTGATAAGAGAAAGCATGAAAAGAATAGAACATGTTGCTACAATTAAATAAAAACCGCAATTAATACAATTAAACGCATTTATTATTCTTTTTAAATATGAAGCAACAACCCCAAAACAACAATACCACACATGCTGGTTTCTTTACGCTGATCTGATCAACACTTTGTTTCTTTATTACTTCATTTTCATCCCTGCAACGCCAGCTAGCTAACTACGGATAGCTGTAGCTAGCTAGCTGTGGCTAGCTACAGCTAGCCGTGGCTAGCTAGCTGGCAAATTCATTTGAAGACGAATAATGCGCAGCTCCGCACAACGGATGGGCCGCAGGCTTGTTGGGGGGCTCTCAGATAATAAATTTGTTTTCTTTGTTTGTTTGTTTGTCTGATTTGTTTGATTTGTTTGTTGGTTTTGTTTGTGTGCTTTGCTTGCCTCCTCTGTTATTTGTTCGGTTAGATGTTTATTTGCTAATTTAATTGTTTATCTACTGCTTCCTTTGCCTTCTTAAGAGACAATGAGGGGCTGCTCTACCTTCCCGCTCGTCTGCTTGGAGTGTACGTACACCCCAAGCTGTAGACTTTCTTCATAGTTCTTTTCCTGCTATTTTCTCGTCTCTCGAAGCTCATCAAATATTATTCTTGTCTGTTTATTTAAAACCTACATATATATATATATATGTATATATATATATATATCGCGCAAACAAGGCAGCTCTCTAGTTAGATGCAGCAACAACAACAGCAGCAGCAGCAGCAGCAGCAGCAGTCGTGGCTGGTTCTTGCTGCTCCCGCTAATGCTGGTGCTGCTGGTGCTGCTGATTTTGCTGCTATCTCCGCGTACGCCGGAGCCTGCTGGACGGCATAAGCATAGACATTGCTGCAGCAGCAGCAGCTCTTGCTGCTGTTGCTGCAACTCACACGAAAAAACAGCAGCAGCAAATATTGAAAGCAGCAGCCAATGCTGCAGTGCTACTGCTTGTGGTTGTGCCGCTGCTGGTGCTTCTGGCGATGTTGCTGCTTCTGCTGCTGCTGCTGCTGTTGCTGCTGCTGAAAAGCCGGTGCTGTTAGCAGCTGAAGGACGAGGAGAGTGTCGGCTGGAGGCAGTGGTGGAAGCTGCAGCAAACCAACAGCAGCAGCAGCAGCAGCACAGTGAGTGTTACAGAGAGATCAATGCGCTCAGCAGCAGACAAGAATAAAGTAAATAGAAATAAATAAACAATGAGAAGCATCATCACCTGCAGTGCAGCAAAAACCTTTTTCGCTGTCTCGAATATGCCTTCCTCCTCCGTCTGCTGCTGCTGCTGCTGCTGCTGCTGGTTGGCTGCGGCTGCGTTTGCCTTCCATGCAGTTGCTGCCTGCTGCACAGACCTGATAATCAAACAAACAGACGAGACCACAACCCTCGGTGCTGCTGCTGCTGCTGCTGTTGCTGTTGCCGCTGTTGCTGTTGCCGTTGCTGTTGCTATTGCTGTTGCTGCTGCTGTGCTTGGTGCTGTTGCTGCTTGTGCTGCTACTGATACATGTTCTGCTTCCTACCTCAGAGTGCTGCTAAACGCTGCAGCAGCAGTTGCAGCAGCACTTGCTTTTTGCTGCTGCTGTTGCTGCTGCTTCAGCTGCTTCAGCAAATGCTTGTCTACTGGCAGCACACCCCCAGAAAACGAAGACAAACGCAACACAGCCTGCAAATACAAGCAGCAGCAGCAGCAGCAACATCGGCATCAGCAGCAGCAGACTGCATGTTACAGAAAAGGAAGCAGCAGCAGCAGAAGCAGTCGCAGCAGCATCAGCATCAACAGAATCAGCAGCAGCATCAGCCCGAGTATCAAGACAACTAGCAGCAGCAGCAGCAGCAGCAGATTACGGAGGTGAGAGGCAAAGCGGTTTGTGTGTCTTGTAGCTGGAAGGTAGATTTGAGCTGCTGCTGCACTTCATTGCTGCAGCGCAACAAAAGAAGCAAAAGAGTAATAAAAACAATAAAAAGATATAAACAACAGACAGCACAAATAAAAATAAAATATTTAAACTGTAAACAACAAAGCAATGCAACATAAATGCAGCAACATATCACCCGCAACACGTCCTGCCCTGCTGCTGCTGCTGCTGCTGCTGTTTCTGCTGCTGCTACTGTTGCTACTGTTTCTGCTGCTGCTACTGTTGCTGCTGCTGCTGCTTGTAGTGTTGCCTCCGGTTCTGCTACTGTAGTTGCTGGTGCTGCTACTGTTCCTGTTGCTGCCTCAGCTGTTGCAGCAGCAGCAGCAGCAGCAACTGCTGCTGCTGCTGCTGCTGGGTGGTTTGTGCCTGACCAGCAGCAGAGGAGGCTGACGAGTGCTTCTGTCTCGCTGCTGTTAGTTTTGCTGCTGTTAGATTTGCTGCTGCACAAAGAGACAAAGGTATTAAGAAGACGCCTCGTTGTATCATCGAGGTGTATATACACCTCGTGCTGCAGCACAGCAGCATGAGGCTGCTGAATGCTGGCAGTAAGAGCTGAGGAGACAGAAGAAGATAAAAAGAGATAAAACAAATAGATTCAAACAAGCAGATAAAGATCAAAGAAACAGCAAAAACAAACAACAAGAGACAAACAAACAATTCCAAGGTTTAATAAGGGTTTAATAAGGGTTTAATAAGGGTTTAATGAGGGTTTAACGAGGGTTTAATGAGGGTTTAACGAGGGTTTAATGAGGGTTTAATAAGGGTTTAATAAGGGTTTAATGAGGGTTTAATAAGGGTTTAATAGCGGTCTTCACGTGGGTGTGGATGAGGGTTTAGCGAGGGTTTAATATGGGTTTAATGAGGGTTTACTGAGGGTTTCAATAAGGGATTAAATAAGGGTTTAATGAGGGTTTAGTTAGGGTCTAAAGAGGGTTCGAGGGGGGTTTTAATAAGGGTTTGAATGAGGGTTTAGTGAGGGTTTGCTGAGGGTTTGAGGGTTTACTGATGACTGGCTCCCATTTGGGTTTAACGAGGGTTTAGAGAAGGATTAATTAGGGTTTAATTAGGGTTTAATGAGGGTTTACAGAGGGTTTAGACACGGTTTGAATGAGGGTTTATATGGGTTTGAGTGAGGGCTTGCTGGCGGGGTTAGGGTTTAGGATTCAAGTGGTTGTCGCTTTTAGGGCTTTGCGCTTGTAGGTGTGTGCTTAAGGGTTTAGGGTTTAGGGTTTAGAAGACAGACAGCCAGCTTGGGTAAGGAAGTCGCCAAGGGCAATAGGGTCTAAGGGCTGCTGCAGCAGCACAAACTGCAGCACAGAAACAAAAACCGTAAACCCTAAACCCTAAACCCTATTCTCTAAACCCTAAACCCTAAACCCTATTTCCTTAACCCTAACAGCTATGAAAAACCCGCACAAAAGGCTGCCAGCATGAGGAGGGGATGCACAGAAATAAACAAATACACAACCCCAAACCCTAAACCCTAAACCCTAAACCCTAAACCCTAAACCCTAAACCCTAAACCCTAAACAAAAACAAAGAAAAACAAACTTGCCTCAGCTCTGTCTTTTATTTCGTCTTTCAAATGCCTCATCATCTGCTGCTCCAAATCCTGCAGCTGCTTCCCTATCTGCACACAAAACCCTAAACCCTAAACCCTAAACCCTAAACCCTAGCTATGCTGCCTGTAATATGCTCTCCACCTTGTTGCTGCTATTTGTTACTGCGCTTCCATCTACTAGTGTCTTGTTAGCACTGTTGGTGTAGGGTTTATGAGGGTTTAGGGTTTGTGATGGTTCAGGGTTTAGGGTTTAGGGTTTGCGAGGGTTTAGGGTTTAGGGTTTAGGTACCTGAGGGAGTCGGTGTTTGAGGTGTAGCCGTGAGAAGACCGCATTGACTTCCGCTGTTGAATTAACAAGACGTGCAGCGTTAAATAAAGAAGAAGATAAAGATGAAGATGAAGATAAAGATAAAGATGAAGATAAAGATAAAGAAGAAGAAAGAAGAAGAGAACGCCAATTCGATGTTATTGCAGATATAAACAGAGACAGCGCAGTCCCTACAACTCCTTCTACAGAAAACAAACAACAATAATAATAAAAATAATTAAAATTAAATAATTAATAATAATAAACAATATTAATAATAAATAAAAAAATAATATTAATATTATTCATATTGATGGTGATAATAATATTCGCCTTAATAACAACAGTTGCATCATTGCGCTTCTCAAGGGTTTAGGGTTTAGGGTTTAGGGTTTTCTGGGGTTTAGGGTTTAGGATTCAAAAGGGTTTGGTGTTGATCGTTTAACCTGGCGTAGGGATTAGAGTAGGTAAGGGTTTAGAGTTGCTTTGCGCGTGTTCAAGGGTTTAGGTCTTAGGGTTTTAATAAGGGTTTAGGGTTTAGGGTTTAGGGTTTAGGGTTTACTTGCGTAGCACTCGATGGCCGTCTCCGCGTTGAGGGCCGCCATGCGGCGATTTGAGTTTGTAAGGAGGCAAATAACAGCAAACCCTAAACCACTGCAGCAAAACAAATTCAGCAGATAAATTAATTAAATTAATTTAATTAATTTAATTAATTAAACAAATTAAACAAATTAATTTAATATAATTTAATTAAAATTGTTTATATTTGCATATATGCTGATCTTATCCTAATTTTTATACATTTACATATATATGTATATATGTATATGCATGCATATAATATATATATATATATATATATTATATAACATAATAATTAAATTAAACTAAACTAAATTAATTAAGAAAAATAAAATTAATAAAGTAAATAAATAAATAAATAAATTAATTAATTGTTAACTACTTTTATTGTCTTTGTTTTATTCATTTGCTGCACCTTATGTGGGCTTCGTCTTCTCTTGAGTCGGCTGCCTTCTGCTGCAGTGGATTTGCTGCTGCTGCTGCTGCTGCTGCTGTTGCTGCTTCTGCTGCTTTTATTTTTTCTTTTATCTCCCTTTCAGCGAATGCAGCATCTAGAGAAACCCAATACTCCAGAAAGCCCACGCTCACACCCTGCTGCTGCTGCTGCTGCTGCTGCTGCTGCTGCTGCTGCTGTTGCTGCTGCTGCAGCAGGGAAGGGGGGCTTCCCCAGGGCCCGTAGGGGAGACAAAGCGGCTCTGCTGATTTCAGCAACTCAACGGGCGACATATACTCATCTTCATCTTCATTTGCTGCTGCTGCTGCTGCTGTTCCTGCTGCTGCTGCTGCTGCTGCTGTTTCTGATTCGACAGAGGTGCCCCGTACACTCGTGCTGCTGTCGCTGCCTGCTGCTGCTGCTGCAGGTGTCTCTTCGTCGCTGCTGCTGCTGCTGTTGCTGCTGCTGCTGCTTAGCAGCACATCCTCCTCCCAAAGATCTGCTGCCTCCTCCTCGTCTGAAAGCGACCCGAGGGCCCCTCTCTGCTGCTGCTGCTGCTGCTGCTGCTGCTTCTGTTCCTGCTGCTGTTGCTGCTGCTGCTGCTGCTGAGTATACATACAGCGGATAGGCTCGTTGTTATCTGCATCTCGCATTACCTCTGCAGCAGCTTTGCTGCTGAAGACCTTAAAATGCGAATGCAGCAGCAGCAGTTGCTCCAGGTGCAGCAGCACCAGCGCTGCTCCGCCGCTGAATGGGGGGGCAGGGGTGGGTGCTGCTGCTGTTGCTGCTGCTGCTGCTGCTGCTGTTGCTGCTGTAGTGTCAGGCTGCGTATACACCAGGAAAGGCAGCCGCTGCCGCACACAAAGCCTGAAGGCCCGAGCGAGGTGTACAGACACCAGAACCATCGGGTCTAGTTCTGCTGCAGCAGCAGCAGCAAGGCGCTGCAGCAGCTCGGCCCCTGCTGTTGCTGCTGCTGCCTCGCCTCCGTCGTTTTTGCTGCTGCTGCTGCAACAGTTCATCGAGGAAATTAGCAGCCATTGCTGCAGCCGCGGCGACAGCTGTAGCTTGCTGCTTTCCCCGCTGCTGCTGCTGCTGCTGCTGCTGCTGCTGTTGCTGCTTGCTTGTCGCCACTCGCTCCAGTCTAGGAGCCCCCCGTCTGCTGCGCTTTGCTGCAGTTGCTGCAGCAGCTGCAGCACGAAGGCAGCAGCCCATTGAGGCCTATCTAACCGCTGCAGCTGAGAGCCGCCTCCACGCATAAAGAAAAAAACAAACGCTAGCAGCAGCGGCTGCGCCAGTGCTGCTGCTGCCCACAGCTGCAGCGGCTGCAGCTCGTAGAATGCAGCAAAGGCACGTTCGCCTCCTGCTGCTGCTCCTGCTGCTGCAGTAGCTACTGCTGCTGCAGTAGCTACTCTTCCTGCTGCTCCTGCTGCTCCTGCTGCTCCTGCTGGTGTCATCACCGACTCGCTGAGACACTGCAGCCGCTGCAGCAGCAGCAGCGCTCCAAGGGCTTTTACAAGATGCTCTCGCGCTGCAGGGATGAGCTTATCATTGCCTGCTGCTGTTGCTGTTGTTGCTGCTGTTGCTGCTGTTGCTGCTGCTGCATGCTCGGCAGTGTCTTTGCCGCCCTCTGCGTCGGTTGCAAAGGAAACCGCAGCAGCAGCAGCAGCAGCATCAGCAGCAGAAGCAGCAGCACCGGCAGCATCAGCAGCAGCAGGAGCCGCAGCACCATCCGCCGCAGCAGCAGCATCAGCAGCAGCAACAGCAGCAGCAGCAGCTCTACCCCAATGAACCAACGTCAAGGCGCTGCGTGCTGCCTGCAGCAGCAACCGTCTGCAGCGAGGCAGCAGCAGCAGCAGCCGCCGTGCAACGAAGCTGCTGCTGCGGGGAGGCAGCACCTCAGCAGCAAGAATAACTCCAATCTGCTGCAGCAGCAGCAGCAAAGAAGCCTCACTACTGCCCAGGCACGACAAACCCTCAGATCCTGCTGCTGCTGATGCTGCTGCTGCTGTTGCTGCTGCTGCTGTTTCACAGGCCTGCAACAAGTCTGCAGCTTCCTCAGTCAGCTGCACAGACACACAAAGCAGCAGCAACCAAGCAGCATGGAGCAGTATCAGCAGCAGCAAAGGCTGCTGCAGCAAGAGCAGCAACAGAAGCAGCAGCAGCGAAACCAGTGACAGCAGCAGCAGCAAGACCAGCAGCAGCAAGACCGCAAGCACAGGCAGGATCGCACGGAGCAGCATCAGCAAGAGTAGCAGCAGCACCGAAAGTAGCAGCAGCAGAGCAGTAGCAGCAGGTGCAGCAGCACCCACTGAAGACACAACAGCAGCAGCAGCAGCAGCAGCAGCAGACCTTGATGGAAATAGAAAGATGCTCTAAGAAGAGAGCCTTCCTCCTCTGCAGCAACGACTCGGCAGCAGCAGAGTGCAGCTGCTGCAGCAGCAGGCCCTCGCCTTCTTGCTGCTCGTGTTGCTGCTGCAGCGGAGAAAATTGCTGCTGCAGCTGCTGCAGCTCTCCCACGAGCGCTCCCAACTGCTGCACGCACCCTGCTGCCTCCTCCAGTTCTTCTTGCTGCTGCTGCTGCTGCTGCTGCTGTTGCTGCTGCTGGCCGCTCTGATTGTCGTCGCAGGTGTCCAGGGCGAGTTGCTGCAGCTGCTGCTGCATTTGCTGCTTCTGCTGCTGCAGCTCCTGAAGCACCTTGGGAACAGAGCGCAGCAGCACGAGTTTCTGCTGCTGCTGCTGCTGTTCTTGCGGATAGGCTGTCAGTTGCTGCAGCAAAGCCAGAGCCTCTGGGGAGAGCTCCTGCTGCTGCTGCTGCTCAGTGTCTACTCGCCCGAATGTAGTTGTGCTGCTGCTGCTGCTGCTGCTGCTGTCGCTGCTGCTGCTGCACTGCGGGGGCAGCAACAACCGTTGCCGTGCTGCTTCTGCTTCTGCTGCGGGCAGCTGCTGCAGCATCCCCTCCAGTACTGCCAGCTGCTGCTGCTGCTGCAGCTTTGTTTTGCATGCAGCAGCAGCTGCTGCTGCTGCTGCTGCTCTTGCTGCTGCTCGCGTCTCTGCGGCGCAGCAAACGCGTTGCTGCACCGCCTGCCACGAAGAGCGCTGCTGCAGCTGCTGCTGCAGGTTTTGTCTCAATGCAGCAGCAACGCCGTGCTCTAAGCCCCATTGCTTTGCTGCTTCCTCAGCAGCAGCAGCAGCAGCAGCAGAAACAGCAGGTGCTGTTGCAGCAGCTGCTACAGCAGCAGCAGCAGGCCGCAGCAAAGCCGCATCCACCGACTTCCACCGAGCCAACACCTCAGTGCCCCATCTCTGCTGCTGCTGCTGCTGCTGCTGCTTTTGCTGCTGCTGCTGCTGTTGCTGGTGCTGCCCTTGCTGCTGCTGCTGATGATGTCGAAGGTTGTGGTGGTGCGGAGGATGTTGCTGCTGCTGTTCTTGTTGCTGCAGTGGAGCAGCAGCAGCAGGGCCTTGCTGCTGCTGCTGCTGCTTGCGGTGCTGCACCGCTTGACGAAGCTCTAAGAATACCCCCGCATCGGCTCGTTGCTGCTGCTGCTGCTGCTGTTGCTGCTGCTGCTGTTGCGAGGCGGGCGAGCGCCCCTCAAGAAGAGCAGAAAGAAACATTGCCTTAATGCTGTGCTACTTCAACGCCTGTTGCTGCTGCTGCTGCTGCTGCTGCTTCTCCTGCTGCTGTAGGTATCAGTCAGTCAGATTCGCTCTGTTTCTGCTTCGGCTTTTGCTGCTGTCGTTGTTAGTGCTGCTGTCCCCTTCTTTCTGACTTTTGCTGCTGCCACCGTAGCTGTTTCTGATTGTCGCTGAGGTGTATGTACACCTCAGCGGCAGCGAGAGACAATCGACTGGCAGCAGCAACTGCAGCGCTGCTGCAGTTGTGTGTCTGCTGCTGGCTGCAGCAGGCAGGGGGTTGAGGTATACACTAGTTGTCTATGCTGCTGCAGCTGCTGCAGCAGCAAGAACAATATCATTAGCAGCAGCAGCAGCTGCTGCTGCAGCTAATGCTCTCAGCTATGCAGCAGCAGCAGCAGCAGCTGTGTTTCTGTTTCCGTGTATGGAGTTGTCTATCATCTTCTATTGAAAATATATTTAATTTAATAAATATGATAATATATTTGTTTATTTCATCGAATTTCAGAGAAAAAAGAACTCTTGCTGCTGCTGCTGCTGCTGCAGTAGCTGCTGCTGCTGCTGCAGTAGCTGCTGCTGCATGCGAGCGCTGCAGTCGTTACCCTTTGAAAGTTTTCTTTTTTTGTCTTTGTCTGTTTTTTCGCTGTTCGATCTTCAGCTGTTTTTTGTTTATTTCGCTCAACACCAGCCTGCAAAGTGCTGCAGCAGCGTCAGCTCTTCTCCCTCTTGCTGCTGCTGCTGCAGCAGCAGCAGCAGCAGCTACAGACACCGTGGCTGCGCCTCTGTCTTTTGCTTCATTCGGGTGTTGCCTCACAACTGCTGCTGTCTTTCGGGAGAAGAAGCAGCAGCAGTTGCTGCTGAGGCGAGCAGCAGCAGCTGCTGCTGCTGGAGAACAAGCAGCAGCAGCAACAGCAGCAGCAGCAGCAGCAAAATTCTTTTTTTCCTTCGCTCCACGAAACCCCTCACCGTCATGTACGCAGCGGCCGAAGCTGCGGCAGCCAACTCTTAGGGCCTGCAGCAGCAGCAACAACAGCAGCAGCAGCAACAACAACAACAGCAGCAGCAGCAGCAGCTGCTGCTGATTGCTTGTTCAGCAGGACGATGGCTCTTTCTTCCGCCTCTTCGAGGCGCACCGTGCGGCAGCGTCATCAGCAGCAGCAGCAGCAACAACAACAACAACAGCGGCAACAGCAGCAGAAGCAACAGCCGCTGCTGCTGAACTGTCTCCAGCGAGCACCGCAGCAGCGTCGCCGCTTGAAGCTGCAGCCACAGAAGCAGCAGCAGCAGCAGCAGCATATCGAGCTACATCAGCATAATCTGCAGCAGCAGCATGTGCAGCATCTGCAGCAGCAGCAGCATGTGCAGCATCTGCAGCAGCAGCAGCTGCAGCTGCAGCAGCAGCAGCAGCAGCAGCAGCGGCGTTGTTTACCTCGTTTTGATGGGTTGAGGCTGCTGCAGCAATTATGCAGACGGATGAATGACTG